GCAGAGACGACCAGGGAAGCAGGGCAGGCAGAGCAGGAGGGTAAGACACGAGACAGAGAGATGCTTGGTAAGTGTCATCTAGAATGGCAACAATACTTCACAACCTTGGCAGTTTGCTGTGGGGTTAAGAAGTCTGGTTAGATTGCGAGAATCGATGGCAGCTGTGCTGCCCCACCCCTGGGGACGTGACACTAGGCTTACGTTCATATTTTAGCTCGATGCTATTTGAACCCATGCGTCAGTGGCTGACAATAATATTTGCACAGGGGGTGGTAGCCTACGTGGCTGTTTACACCCAGATGTATAGCATGACCTGATATAGATAAGCATCAGGTGTCTATTGCCAACAACACTGCTTGCATTCAGCATTATGCACTGTAGGTATATGTCATACTGTAATGTAGGCTATATTTTAGAAACAGCATCAGTGTGCCAATATGCTACATGACAGGCTGTGACGTTACTACTATTCCACCACAGCTGCGGTGACTGATTGTCTTTCCAAAGTTGTAGGCCTATGCAAACATGCATGCAACATAGTGTGTAGATAACGGAATTGCTGCCATATGGCTCACCTGAGTGCAAAGACACTTTGAATATTTGTATGGTGCAGTACAATACTGTATTTGGACCGGTCTCAGATGTTTGTGCCACATTTGTACCGGTTTATGCCACCGAAGTTGTTGTTTGTGCTGCTTTAGTTTCTAAGATATAAATGTTTGGGTACATTGTGAGGACACCACCATGAAATCCCTCCCACCGCCGTGTGTATGAAGTTTCCATGCAACATGTTTGCTTAACAGGCATGATTTTAACAATTATTACCTTGAAAAATCAATAGCATTAGGGATTTTGCTGTAAAGACATGTATTTACAGTAATTGCAGACCTAATTATATTACATGTAATAACATCATAAAGGATAAACAGTGTTTATCTTTAATTTTATGCCCAGTGGTAGTTCAGGCTTCCCGATCCAGCAACCTAGCTCTAAACAGTTAACGGAAAAATAATGCCTTTTTATTAAACCCTTAAAAGGACTAACACAGGTACCAAACAACCACGAAACTGCACATAATTGTGAAATGCAGGGAGGTCAGATGCCGGACAGTAAGGTACACACGGTGGGTAATCCACACACCGGCTAAAGACGCGAGGATCTGACAGGGATCACATACTTTATGACAGAGGCAAGGGCACACATGACAATTGGGAACACAACAACTATCAACAATAATTGACCGGAATAAATGACAGTTTTCCCAGCATGCTCTTGAACTGTTACTGGGCTCCGCAATGCAGAGCCCATAAAACGCCTATAACCCCACCCATCTCCAGGCAAACGGAAAACGAAGCGTTTTCTGACTTCTTTAGATAGACACCAATAAGCGCGAAACAAGCCGTTTCTCAATTTTCCGCTTACAATTGGTCTAGTGAAAATGGAGAAAACAACCCGCTTTTTCATTTCTGTATTTTCTGTCTTAAATATAAAAATAAATTATACTCACGTAAATGGAACAAATGGCCACACTTTTGCTGCAACATCAGCAAAGGTAATGCAACCAAATGCTGCAACGCATTATAAACTCGGGAACAACCCGATATCCATGCAGTATTAGCATTAGTGTTATACATGTTAGCTATGACTCTTAAAAACGCCTCATATTTATTTGTGAGATCATTTATGTGTGATTAATCGGTATGACACATGCCCCACAATCAGCTAAACTGGAAAAGCTACAGAGGTACCTCGCTTCACTAACGTTACGCCACATTAAAAACGACATTGATGATAACACTCAACAGTATGTAAGGCTGAGCTTTGAATAAGCCCAAGACACTCAGTCCAGCAAGACTAACAATAATGTAGTGAAACGAGGGATTCAGAGTCTGGCAGTTGTATCTAACATTTAAAAGCATCACTTGTAATGGCTTATGTTTGAACTGCGTCTCTTCACATTGACACCAGTGAGGCGATGACAGGCCTTCAGCTGGACTGGAGTGCATGCATAGTTCATATCTTGTAATTTTGACTTTTTATCTCGTAATTATGACTTTGTATCTCATAATTTCGATTTTTTTATCTTGTAATTATAACTTTCTATCTCGCAATTTCGACTTTCTATTTCATTTTTTTTCCTTTTACTGGCAGAAATGGGCTTCCGTATGAAAGAGTACTGTCTACCACAGAATAAACAACAGGGCTTTTGGAGATGCATGCTTGCTAAGCATTGCTTTTATTTATTTCACAACAAATTATTGGCACATTTTTTGTCCACCAGCTCCATTTCAACTACTATTCCAAGCATTTAGAATAAACATCACACCTCATGTTTAGTCAGTATGCTCTTATATGATTTTCTTATGTTTAAAGTGATGGTGGGTGTCCCCAATAGCTATGGCCAGTGACTCCGGTTAACAACCCAACGACTGCAGCTCAGCAAAACTACAACCACTTTCACATTCTGACTACAGGCCTGATCATTGACAGAGCTGGGAAATTTTGCCACAGCATTGTAATCTGTAGTTCAGCTTCACATATTACTTGCACATTAATGTAATGTGCTGTGTATTTTACGTGTCTGTAAATGTGCTCGTGGATTGGGGGGGGCAATACTTCCTGATATTTTTCCTATGTATGCAAATGCGCTAACTGGATTACACCTGCTTGTCAGATGCAAAGAAATTTCAACAGAAACCAGACGTTATCTTTCCACCCAATTTTCATACATGCAGCAGAATATGTAACCCGTGTCTCTTTGACCATCTCCTCCCTTGTTTTTGGGCAAAACTTCCACTTTTAGCTTGACCCTCCCATGAATACATATGCATGAGTAGGAAAAGCGCAACTTATCATTCAGCGCTCCTTTGGCATGCAGATTGCGGTTTTAGGTATGTGCGGTATGTTCGTACTGTACATACCATGCCATGGTTTTATACGCATGTTGTAACGAAATTCACCTGATACAGGAGTAAACATGTTAGTACATCTGCCACACAAAGTCTAGGCAAATCAAGTGGGCTTTTTGCCAAATCATCATACAGACACAGGCATTCAGTTACATGAAATAACGTTCCCCTAAGAACACAGTGTGACACACAGAAAGGAAGTGGCAAGGGGAGGATTTCCACAGTGAGAAACGTGGGGGCTGGACACAAAGGTTGATATAGTGCAATGTGAATGTAAACAAATACAGTACAATTAAGGAAGCAATCATTATTGTAGGTTGACTACACAGATAAACAGTGCCTGTTGGGGGGGGGGGGTATGTAGTGTCCTGACCACCTTGGGACGGAAGCTGTTGCCGAACCTGCTAGAACTGGGTCAGATGCTTCTGTTTTGCATTTTTAAGTTATTTGTGAAGTTGTAAGTCTGATTCACAGTATGAGGCCAGATACATAAGCCAGGACTGGACAGCTTTCTGTTTCATTTCCAAGAACTGTGGTGAAATTTATGGTCACTTAAAGAATCTTAACTTACAGGATTTACCTGTTTCTCCTCCCCTCCGCCTAGATGGCATTACGGGATTCCTCCATCACAGCAGAGAGAAACTAGACAACAACTAACAAAACTAGAGGGAGGTGCTCTCAGAATGAGAGCAGTGTATTCCTCGTACAGCCCTGTGATTAGTCATTGTCAAAGTCAAAATGTGCCCTCTACATTTAACACCATGACAAAGGAACGGCAGCTAATTTAGCAACCGAGGAGTAGCACCTTGCTTAGGGTACTTCAGTGGTACCTTGCAGGTCAAGGATTCAAGCCAGCAATCTTTGGATTACAAGCATGCTTCACTGCTTCCCTAACTATTAGGCCACTGCTGCCTGCGATAGGTGGTGCTTAGTAGTACTTAGCAAAGAATGCAAAATATGTCTCCCAGTCCCACTTGGTCTTATTCTGCTATACCTGGCACTTGAACAAAGAAAGTTTTTTTCTGTGGTGGAAATTAAGTGTTATAGTTAGGGCTGGGCGATATCAAATCGCGATTGAATCGCGATTAAATCACGCATGCGCAATAATCACTAGGGCTTCAGATGACAGGCGCAACATTTGGTGGTGCGCCAGCTTTTCTGTGCTATACGGACATTTATTTACGCCCACAATATAAGCAGCTTAGTATGGCTAAATTATTAATGAGGCTTTGTATCAGAGCATATGAGCGGAGTGGAGCTCACGAGGCTGTTGGCTCCGCCCGCTTCCCCGTTCTAATTCCCACTAAGCCGCTCCGCTCAACACCGCTCCTCACTCCGCTAAAATTTCCTCCCGCTCCAGTCATATTGCTTCACGCTCGCTCCAGTTTAAAAGAGGGACAAATAATCTGCATGCCTAACAAATGTCACCTTAAACCGAAGCCTTATATCATAAAGAAATATGAGCAACGGCAACATTGCCACTCAGAAAATATTTATTTTTAAGCAACATACTGTATAGGCAACAACGGACAGGTTTGGCAATGGCATTCCACACAAAAATAGGCTTAAAAATTAAGGAATCAGTGGGCTTAATAGCCTAAAGAATATACAGGCTAAGCATCCAACTTTTAAATTCCTCAATTTTTTTCTGTTGATGCTGCTGCTGCGTCTCTATAAAATAAAATTTCACTGATAGCGTTACGTGAAATTTAAAAAATCCTATTAGACCTACTTTGAATGACAAAACTAATTTATTTGATTACCAGCATTTACTTTATACACAGCAAATGTACCAGTGTTAAATTAACATCTTTCACACAGAGCCACTTCATCTGTGAGAATCTTGAGGGTTTTTTTTCACATAGGCCCACTTGTAAAGGGCTGGGACTGAATGTTAGGACATGATCATGAGCTCAGCTGAACACATGTGGATTCAGGAAGGGCAGAGTGATGCTGGCAGTTGTATCTGAGCAAGACAGACATCAGTGTGCTGAATGTTATGGGTTTGATTAAGAAATTCTGTCACCTGAAAATGGCTTATTCCATACAACAAAAATGTAACTAGTGAGAGTTTTCTATTGATGTGTTTAGACGTCCCTCTAATGGTGCTACTGACCAAAGTGGACAAAGCATGCCCACTTGTGGGAGAGGATTTGAAGAACGTGTACCGCAGCTGCTACATAAAGGATCTGGTGAGTTTCTGGGTCTACCATGCACTGAAACACATAGTCTAACACATAGTCAAGGCTGCATGACCCTTGACTATGAAATTAACCTGAATTTCTGCAGCAAAAAATATTAGAGATGATCCAATCGATTGGCAGCCAGTTTAAATTGGCACTTAAATTTAAATCAGTCTTAATTACTCAGTTGGCAGCCTTTAATTTGACCAATCTTAAATACCGATTTTGCAGACGATATACAATATGTGGGTGGTGCAGTGGTTAGCAATATCACCTCACACCTCTGACCCCTGGATTTGGGTCTCTGTCAGAGTTCCATGTGTGTGGAGTTTGTTCTCCGTGTGTCGTTGTGGGGTTTCCTCTGAGTGCTCCCATTTCCCCCTACAGTCCAAAAACATGCTGAGGCTAATTGGAATTACCAAATTGCCCTGCGATGGGTTGGCGCCCCATCCTGGGTTGTTCTCTGCCTTGCACCCATGAGCTCTGTACCCCCCCACAACCCTGAAAATGGATGGACAATATGTACATTGATTACTTCAAATATGTGCATGAAGTTTCAAACACAGCAGCAGCACTGTGTCACCTGTGAGCTGGCAGTTTTACCAGAAATCTATGAAAGACCCATTAAAGAAGATTTGGTGTCTCCCCAGTCAACTCTCACCCAGCAAAATGACTCTGTGTGTAGGACTGTGGCCTGACACCTCAACGGTTGTGGCTTTGAATCCCACCTCCACACCATGTCTGTGCAGTTGGCATGTGATATTGTGTGTTTCTCCCCATAGATGAAAACCTGCATTTGGGTGAAGTGGTATCTCTAATCTGCCCACAGTGTGTGACCAGCAATGAGCTGGCATTCTGCCCTGGGCGTCTCCTTCCTCTGTTACATGGGATAGTGAGTCTATCACCCTGTGCAGGATGGGTGGTGCTGGGTGATAGACTTCTGTCTGACATTTCATTGCCCTCAAGAACTCTCCAACTTTCATGTGCATTCAGATTTCTGCTGTTTTAATGCTGGCTTATTACAATCCTGTTTGACAATAATCTTCTGATACAGCAGCTGAAGAAATTTATTTCAATAGGAATATGTGTGTGAACTGCATGTCTTTCTGCAGATCTACAAAGCGAGTGACTGTCTGGGCATTCCAGTGTCGCAGGTGCTTCCAGTGAAGAATTACGACCATGAGAATGTGCTGGACACGTGCTGTGATGTCCTGCTTCTCAGTGCAATGCAGCAGATGCTAAACTTTGCTGACAATTACTTTGACAATTTTAATAATGGCACAGAGTAAAGATGTTGTGATCAGTGCCATCATATTTCTCTGGTGGTGTTGAGAGCCACTGTCCAAGGTGTTGTGCCCAATAACATGTTAGATTCTTACTCGTTATACTTACGCAGAAATCTGTTTCTTTACCGTAATTACACACAAGCCGTTTTGTAAAAATTCTACATTTTACTTGGAGATGAATGATGTGTGCATAAAACCAAAGATATAATCAAGTGCACAGTGTAACCCTACACTAGACTACATGCTAAGCTAATAAAAATGACCTGGTGATTCTCAACTGAACTCTGTCAATCTTAACCATAGTGTGGTTCAGGGTACTACATCTATATTTCAAGTTTGCTTGTGTGTCTCTGTCAGACTGATTACTAGACTTGATTGAATAGATAATAGAATGATTGAATAAAACAGTTTCAGATTCAAAATCTTCATCAATGGAGTTTTTACTCGAAGGATGTGTCACATGAACATTTTCCAGAAGATCTTATCAAAGTGTTTAGCATGCTAGTTTAAATGTACTTTTGCCATTCTACACAGATTGCTAACAGATAAGCGTTAATTAAGCCATTGGCATCTTACGCGATATGTCAGGAAATCAAACTAATATAATTCACCTCAGAGGTGACGTGAAAACAAGAGACCTTCTGATGAAGGGAAGGGCTGTAGATCTACACAGCTCATCATGCAACATAGGTATGAGACTGAAATGTCACCTTCTCAAAGGTCAGTACAGGTCCAGGGAGGCAAATGGCTGAATGGAAACGGAGAAGATGAGGTCCCTAGTTGAGAGCAGACAGCAGCAGCCCCAGGACGGAAGTCAGGGTTGGGATCCCCCTCAGGGGAAACAGTGACATCCTCCTTGTCAGGGCAGCTAGGCAACAAGCAGAATAAACACCACCATTATTATGAGCAAAACCATTTCCAAAGGCCCACAGTCCAGCAAAGACAGGACCACAGTCATGAGCATTATCTGCTTCATCATCAGCACCACGAGCATTATCTCCATCACCTCTGTCTACATCACCTCCATCACCACAGTCACCTGAACATCATCTGTACCACCATCACATTACCATTGGAACCAGAACCTCCAACATTTGTACCATCATCTCCATCTCTGCCATCATCAATATCATAGTTATTCTCCCACCACAATGTGTCAGGATTGAAAAAGTAGAAGTATGTCACAACTGATTGGATAGACAAAACCACAAGATCCCCTTCCGTGGTCCCGTGGCATTAATGTGCCTTCTATAGAAGTGCTTTTTCAGGGGCACTTTTTTGTTTATTACTGTCAACAAATGACACACAGAATCATGTTGGTTGAGAAACATAATGTTTGTTGTGAGAAGGTTACCGAGAAGGAACAGGTTTGAAATATCACCCAGCTTACTTTGACCATCATTTGAAATGCTTGTACACAGCAAATGTACCAGTGTTAAATTAACACTGCATAGTGTCTATAAGGGTCCACACCATTCAGTGTTACCTTTAACACTTTTCAGTGTGCAGTGAGTGTTGATATTTATTAACTCTTATAGTGTTCAATTTACAACCTAGAGTGTTATGACAATGTGTCTTCACCTCCTCCCAGATTGCAAGCCCATATGGGTGGCACACAAGTACAAAATGGGTGGCCCATATCTGCCCTATTTTAATTAGGGCTGGGCGATATCAAATCGCGATTAAATCGCGCATGCGCAATAATCACTAGGGCTTCAGATGACAGGCGCAACATTTGGTGGTGCGCCAGCTTTTCTGTGCTATACGGACATTTCTTTCCGCCCACAATATAAGCAGCTTAGTATGGCTAAATTATTAATGAGGCTTTGTATCCGAGCATGTGACCGCAGTG